TTTCAAGGAGATGATACTGCTACACAAGTCTTTAAAATTAAGGTTTTACACAAATTCTGTGAGCCTTGATGGCTATGTATGTAATTCTTCCAAATGAAACCCTGAGCCTGATAAATTGTAAGATATGCTGATTCTTCGAAAACAGAAAAAATTGCTTATACTAACACCGCAACTTCAGTATATACTTAAAAATTATCACCATACAATTTTTTAAGTGTCTGTATGTAGATATAATCACATACAGATGATTTTTAAAGTCTAGCCCTTTCTTCACATGAATAAACACATAATTTTGCTGTTTTCAAAGAACGATTGCTGCAGGTTTTCAATAAACACAGAAGTACTACAGCATATCAGTTTAAATAAACCTTGTAAATTGACTGGAGAACCATTTTACAGCCCCTACTGTCTGCCTTTGCAGGTATTCTAGAAATCCGAACAGTGGCAGTTGGAATAGTGGCAATCAAAGGAGTGGAAAGTGAATACTTTTTGGCAATGAACAAGTCAGGAAGACTCTATGGAAAGGTATGGGTGCAAAATTCTCTTGTGCGTACAATCATCATGTACAATCTTAAAGATATGTATTTTTAGATGTAGCATTGGTATAGTTTGTACAAAACAGATTCCTTACAAATTAAAATGTATCCTGTACTTACTCCATACATCCCATACTAGACTTTTATGTCCATTTAATAAATTTAATTATTAGAGTTTACATACTTTTTTAAAATGTGGAATGCTAAGAGGGAACAGACAAACCTAAAATATTCAATACTCAGATTTCAGAAGTCCAAATTCTTTACTAAAAATATTATTAATCTGTGAGTTTATAAAGCATATTCTTCTCCCATCTTCCCTAATCTAAGTATTTAAAAATATTTGTACTTATTTTACTCTGTTTTATTATTTACTCTCAACAGAAAGTATGCAATGAGGACTGCAACTTCATAGAACTGATTGAAGAAAACCATTATAATACATATGCTTCTGCAAAATGGACACACAAAGGAAAGGAGATGTTTATTACATTAAACCACAAAGGGGTCCCCATGAAAGGTAAAAAAACAAAGAAAGAACATAGAGCATCCCACTTTCTTCCTCTGGCAATATCCTAATCAGAAATGACCTACAAAGAACTAGTTCCAGCAGGAAGACTATTTTTTAAGAAGACTATTTGACAAGGTATCAAGAGAGGCTGGAATACTACTGAGAAACTGAACAAGCTGGACTTGCGCATTTATGTTTATTTTTAAGAGACTACATGAAAAAGATTTGAAAATATACACAAAACCAGATTTACTAACTAAAAGTTGTAAAAAATTCTAAAGAGTTGTACAATCATTATCTTAGTCATTGTAACTGGGTAGTTTCTTAAATTAATTTACCCTGAAGAATAAGTCATGACTTGATTATCTGATAATATTTTATTTAAAAAACCTATCTGCTTCTTAAATATGGCTGCTATAATAATAATAAGTAGATGATAATGTTGTGTAAAATATGTCAGACTTTAAGGCTGCTGGAATGAGTTGTCAGATTATCAAGTCAATAGTAAATGTGGAGGCTGAGCAGTATTTTAAATACTTCCCCCCCAAGAAACTGATATCCTATACATAAACTATATGATCAGAAAAAAATATATAATCTTGTAAATGTTTATTGTTGTATTCAGATAAAAGAGTTAGTTTGGAAAAACTAAGTTTACTCTACCACAAAATGTTCCTATCTATTAATGAAACAAATACCTAATGCTGCTCTAAAAGATGTTTCAAATAGTGTATGTAAAATAAGAATAGGAATAAATAATGTACTTCATCTCACTTTTCACAAATTAACATTTTATATAACGATGAAGCAAAAATTCAGACATATTAAGGTTTTTTATGTAACATATCCTATCTTTTGTATAATTCCTGTTAGGGCATACAGCTTTCAGTATTGTTTTTCCATCCTTATACATGCTTTTTCTGTTGTTACAGCATTAAACTTTATTTTAAGTTGTATTTGAACTTTATTGTTCTAAGTTATTTAAATGTTATTTATAAAAAAAAATACTTATTAATCTGCATCTGTTTCATATGCTTTTAATTCTAAAGGAATAACAAAATGGTCTGGCTGAGATACATGAATTTTTTTGTGACCAGACACAAAGACTAGTACACAACCCTCTTGCCAACATACATTGGATGGCAGACAAAAATGACAGCCCGCAGCAAAGCGCACAGTGGACATCTCAAAAGAAACAATGCAAAAATGTAAAAAATCTTTGCCACATACTCTTGCTAATCAAATTTAACAGCAAGCTCAGAGTTACACCAGGTAAAAGAAGGTTACAGTTCCAGCAGGTACTGGAATGAATTCTCGGATGGTAGAAACTACACTCACAGACACAGCCTATACGACTAGCTTGAAACTTCAGCCAAAATCAATGTAACCTTACAAAGAAAAGACATCTTAATTTTCCAGCTCCTAAAGTGCTCAACTAAGCCCTACACAACTAATGCATTACGTTGTTTCATTCTGTTCAGTTTACATACAAGTTTTCTCGGTATTATGATAATTGTGCTTACATAAATTTCACCAGAAAATTAGCTAAAACAGCTGCTAGATGACTGGGATGGAGTCAAGTTAATTACTAAAGGTCTTAAATGCTCTACTTTCCATCACAAGTGTCTAGAGTCAACCATTTTTTTTCCTACATGAGACACTTTCTTTATAACAGCACTCACAGAAAACGGCAACAATTCTCTTTAACAAAGTATTCGTTAAACACATATTTTTAAAAAAATATATGATTTGGAAATAATTTATGATTTTGACTTGTTAATATCAAATATCAAAGTGTAGACATAAACTGGTCTATGCAGAAAAAACTGTCAATATGGCTATATCAGTAAACCTTCACTGTGCTTTTGCTAGTTTTATGTATTGCTTGTTCACCAAACACAATAGCCTGAACTATCAAAGAAACTTTTTTGCTGATAACCATCTGCACTACCTTCTGTGAATATACAAACACTGAAACAAGGTCTCAGTGGAAGACCCAGGGAACTACAGGGCCCAACTCTCATTCCTATTACAACCGGGTGTCTAAGCATAAACACAGTTTATTGTTACCTTGGACAGCACCAGTTTTGATGGACAAGAATCAAGTCATTGGCTTGTGGCTGCTAAGTTTTCATGGTTCATCTACTGGCCTGTGAAACCTAGTTCCACTGCAGATTTCTTATCTAACTTTAAGCAAGCCACTTTCAATGTCCTATTTGATAAGTGAGAAAAAGAAGTTCCAGTCTGATATGTGTTGCTGAAATATTAAACATACACCCACATTAGCTTTAAATTACCAGACTCATCACAACAGGGCACAGGCCAGCAGAGGACAGAGAGGTAGCTATTCCTACCCACACTCATAGTGACTTCTGATGTTACACATACATACTGTCACACCATACTGTCACCGATTGTTATCTCTGTTCAAGCCAGCTAACAGGGTTAGCCTGTTTATGTCTGTATGAGTTGTTGTGACATTATTAGCACAGGAACACCAGATGAGAACTTTAGAGGAAAGGGAACACTTGGAAACCATGGACGATCAATCCTTGTAGAAGACACGACGCACTAATATGACAAGTAACTTGCCTATACACCCTATTCCTATTGATTTCAACAAAAACTAGGTGCCAAAGTTGATCTGGACAAGCAAATAACTTCTCAGTGTTCACAGAAGAGAACCAGTGATTATTGAACAAAACTGTGAGTGTGCTGCAAGCCTGAAGCAATAAGGTAGATCACAGAATAGGATATCGACAGGAAGAGCTAAAACAGTAAGGCTTCTCCCCTTTTATTGTCATAGGAAAAAACCAAGTCATTATATCTTGGAGAGAAACACCAAGATAACAATAGCTTCAGTGACTTCAGAAATTACTGTCATTAAAACACTTAGGTCGGAAGTGTTATTATAATCAACAGTTAAGGTGATTTACTGAACCTGCTTCACAAATAATCACTTCCTACTTGGTTTCATATTCTTGTTGCCGTATAGTGCTAAAGTACTAAAAGGACCAAGATCCAAAAGGAAATACGATTATACCAGAACAAACATATTGGAATTTATAGAAATCATGCAAATGTTTCCATTGGTTTTAGGCTTTGTAAAAGGACACTATTTTTTAAACCCAAATGTTCCTCTGTTCAAAAACATAGATACGTTTCTGTTTCTAAAAACTGTGCTGTAAACTGAGCAACACACAAAAAATGGATACTGTAAACAAGAATTTCCTTTCAAGACTATAACTTGATGAGAGTAATACTGACTTTCAACTTTAAAGAAACCACATTTCATTTTTTTAATTGCACTTGAAAAGAAATACTGAAGTAAAAAAGGAAAATTAGCCAGGAAAGCCAACAGGCAATACATAATGACAGTAAGGCAGTTCACCTTATTAACCCACAGATGTGCATAGCCAATCCATACAAAGATTCTACAAAGCTGCATTCATTTGTAGAGACCAAATCCTTCAGCTAGGTCCCAAGAGTAACTCTCCTCCTTGCTCAGATAGCCTGTTCCACTGGGAAAAACCCACACAATTCTCCTACATCTACATTACAAGAGAAAGCTTTGTGGGAATCCTGGCACATGGCAGAACACTTCCCTTTCTCCAATGTGTCTACGGCACTTCACTAATTCAAGATTTCCTGAGTACAGCACGTTCCATGCTTCTCTCCTTAACATTAACAGATACAAGAGACAATCCTCTATCTTTTGCTAAGCATTTAACATAACTGTAGAGAAAACATGTCACAGAGGTATCACTGAAAATGGCAGGGGCTGAGGAGTGGGAAGACTGTTATCAACAGAACAGAGTAGCCTTGAAAATTTGCACAGAGATATCTTTTCCCATTCAGGTAGATTCCATCACTAAATAATTTCTGAAATAATTCTGCAGCTTATCTTTAAGAGTTACAGTGAATATCCCTGGTTTATATAGCCATACACTAGAAAATGGGAAATCAAAGAATCACAGACTTCATCACCTTAAGTAACACCTATAATGCAAATTTATGAGCTTTCTCCCAGATATTTTCCTCTGAATTATTTTGCAACAAATAAGGTTTTCCTACCTTGATGACTGGGGAATGACCTAAATCCAGAAAAAAAGCATATGAGCCCATGGAAAAAAGGATAGGGGGAAAAAAGAGGCAAGGATAGGAAAAAGTTGTTTGGTTATGGTGGGGGGCAGAAAGAAGATAAAAAGGAGTAAGAAAAGATTGACAGCATAAAATGATGGCTGTAGTTATTAGAAGAATAGTAATTTCAGGCAGGGGGAAGAGGGAAGGAGCTGGCTAGCTTGAAGAAAGGAAACATTGGTTAACATTCAGGAAGGGAGCAAACTAGAAGCAACATCAGCACAAAAAGCTTGAGAAAAGATGTTAAAATAGCAGCAATTAGAAAGAACAGCAGGCTAGTATAAAAGAATAAAAATCAAAGATCTGATCCATCAGGACAGGGAAGATGAAGGGGTAGAAGTTAAAGGCTAGAATGCAAGATATACTGAAAATGGGAGCCAGGTGCCAGAAAAAAAGAGTAGAAAGTAGAGTAGCTGTCATTATTATTAAAGGAACTAACAAATCAAAACCATCAGATTTTACTAGATGGACTATCAGCTGCTTCTTTAAACACCTTGTAATATTGTTTACAGCTTAATTAAATGGAAGTATCAGTACATTGGGAGAGTATATGTTTAGAGTTGATCAAAATCTACAATTCATTTTTAATTGCTATAACATTTTGATTTTGTGCAAAACAAAGTGAAAAATGTTACTAATAATTTATTTGACAATTACATTTTGCAATGTACTACAAGTTTAATTCCAAAATGCATAAAGTGATGTGCATTATGTGTTTAAAAATAGTTACAAGACCTACTGGCTGCAGTAGACGTGGCAGATGCACTAGTTTGTACGTTAGCAGTAGCATCTTTACTAGTATGATTTACTATGGCAGCCTTAAAGCTTTCAGGATTCCATTTCTTCCATGGACATTTCCTTGGTTTTAGACCTGAAAATTAAAAAACAAAACAAAACAAAACAAAAACAACAACACTTTAGAAAAATGTTTATTTTAATTTTGAAAATCACCCTGTTAATCTTCCCAGGTGAAATTAAAATTGCTTTCTTTCCTGCCTCCAGTGTGCAAATTTCTATGCCCGTGGTCAACTTCAGGCTTGTGATCCAAGCCTGTTAACTGAAACAATTATATTCATACACTTAAAGTCAACCAGGACAGTTTTGGCTATCTCCCTTCTCCTTCTGCTTGGTTTTGCACATGGGTGCCTACCCTTACTTTGTGGTTGTTCCAATTCTGGTAATTTAATACGTTTGCATATGTTTTATTGAGGTTGTGAATTATTCTGGCAGCAATACATAATTTACTTTATTTGGTGGTTTTCAGTATTCATTCCAGTAGAATTTTGCACAGCTCCCACACCATAAGTTTCAAGCAGATACAGAATCTATGCTACAGCAGTGGTCTCCTAGTTTCTTGAGATTTTTTTCTGGTCTGACTAAATTTCAGTTAACTCTACCCTTTATCTATTTATCGTGGTTACACATTACAGAGGATACTGTGGGTTTACCCAGCTCTTCCAAGTTAAAAGCTCATTTGGAATTTGGTGCATATATTACTT